TGCAGCCCGCCAGGCCCCCCCATCCATCACCGACTCCCGGAGCTTGCTCAGACTCCTGTCCATCGTGGGAGAGCAGCATTCACAGCCAGGAGGCCCCAGTCCCAGGACAGGCCCACTGTTCTGTCACCAAGGTCACTGCGAAGGCCTCCTCCAGGCATCCAACTCTGCCTCAGCTTCCTCCGATCCTGCATGCTGTGGCCCAAGTCATCTCACTAAAACACAAATCTGACTGCATCGGCCTCGTCTTCAGGATAACGCCCACATTCGGGAACCTCCAGAACCTGGTCAATGCTTCTCTCTTTGACTTCACTTGTTGGCTTCTTGGACTCACTTTTATCACCTCCCTGGAGGCTCCACCGACCACAGCGACAGACCCCCTGCCAGGCTTCTGTACATCCTCTGACCTGCTGAGAACATGGATCTTTCCCTTTCAGATTTTACTTTTTCTGATAAGCCTTTTCTGACCTCTTAAAACTAGACCACACGCCTCTCCTGTGAGTCCCAGTAGCAGAAATCTCTAGAGTAGTGTTGGCATCTCTGCGTTTTTTAAAAAAACATTTATTTGGCTTTGCTGGGTCTTAGTTGCAGCACACAGGATCTTCAGTCTCCTTTGTAGCATGAGGGATCTTTAGTTGTGGCATGCAAACTCTTTTGTTGAGGCATGTAGGATCTAGTTCCCTGACCAGGGATCAAGCCCAGGCCCCCTGCATTGGAAGCATGGAATCTCTGCCACTGGATCATCAGGGGAGTCCCTCTCTGCACTCTTCTGCCTGTCCACTGACACCTGATCTATCACAAGGTTGTGAACTTCTCGAGAACAAGGACCTGGTAGGGTCACTGTTGTATCCTCAGCACTCAGCTCAGTGCCCGTCTATGAACAGCATTTAATAATCACTGAACTGACAAACCTTTATTGTCTGTGTCATACTTTGTTGTTGCTGCTGTTAGTTGCAAAGATGTGTCTGATTCTTTGCGACCCCATGGACTGCAGCATGCCAGGCTCCTCTGTCCTCCACTATCTCCCAGAGTTCGCTCAAACTCATGTCCACTGAGTCTGTGATGCTATCCAACCATCTCTCCTCAGTTGCCTCCTTTTCCTCCTGTCATGCTCTTTAACACCTACTTACAAGTGCCCCTATATTATTTTTATTTTCACACATGTTAGCCTGATCTTTATAACCAGATGGTAATTTTCTGAAAGACAGCAAATGTAGTCAGTACTTCTAAGTCAGAGGTTAGTGACACAAAAACGGACACATTTATTAAAAACTGACGATTAGTCAAGGCTTCATGAATGTCAACAACTCAGTGGTGCAGGCGCTGTTTTTCTCTCGCTCTCCCATATAAGGAGACTGAGTCAGGGAGTTTAGTAGCTTCCCTACTAGTAGCTAGTGATAGAGCTGGGACTTGAATCCTGACGTCTGTGTTTGTATTCTCAACCCCTACAGTGAGAGGCTAAGGACACGTGAGATTACATATGCTAAGTAACTTGTTGTTCAGTCACTCAGTTGTGTCCCACTCTTTGCAACCCAATAGTCCTCGAGGCTCCTCTGTCCATGGGATTTTCCAGGACTGAACACTGGAGTGAGTTGCCATTTCCTACTGGAGGGGGATCTTCCCAACACAAGGACTGAACCCACATCTCCTGCATTGGCCAGGTGGGCTCTTTACCACTGAGACACCATGGAAGCCCTTGGATGTTTTATTGCTTACCCTTAAAAAATTACTACCTCTGTGGGCTTATTAGACTCTTTCCTTCACATACTCTGCTTTCCCCCTTTGTTTCAAAGGTTTGCTGAACACTTAGTCATGTACCAAAATGTACATGACCTAACTCACCAAAGGCCAAACTTTAGAAACACCCTTGGAGTTTAGCTCTTTTGACTGGACTATTATTTCCTTAACAAGCTTCATAAAATCACCCCCTGCTCAGTTTGTGACTGTATGTCCAAACACCTCTCTGCAAAATCTCAGTGGTCACTTTTTCCCTTTCTGGCCGTGCTGCAAGGCATACAGGATCTTAGTTCCCCAACCAGGGATAAATATCAAACCGTGTCCCCTGCAGCAGAATCCCGCAGTCTTAACCACTGGGTCTCCAGGTAAGTACTTACGGCCCCTTTGACAACACATCATATGGAGAGAATATCTGGAGTCAACTCATAAGGTCTCATCACAGACTTTTTTGACCAACATCTTGGCCCTTTTGCTGACAAAAAGGATTCTTAAGCCTTTTAACAGATTGAAGGCTTTCTTAGAGCTAAATTCAAAGCAAACTGCCTATCCTTCTTGGGAAATGCTCTGAAGGCTCCCTTCTGAGGTAATTTGATAGCCTTGTCTCTCTGGATTAGCAACGATTTAACATGAAACCAATAGTTAAACATCCCTGGAATAGTTAGTAAAATATATTATATTTCACAATGTTGTCTTCAGGAAATAAACAATCCAAAGTGACTATTTTGGGCAGTGCTATATCACATTATTATTGTAGTAATACTTCCAGAAGAAATCTGAAGTTTGGAATAACTACAGGCAATAAAATATGACCAATATTGCACCAATACATGAAGCAAAATTCAAATTTGGATCCTAAGGAAAAAAACAAGACATCATCAGTGATGATGACAGGCACATCTCTGAACTAAATCTGATTTCCCTGAGGAAGGGAGGCACTGAGCCTATTATAATAGAGTATGCCTTTGAAGGACTGAGAAACAAGTCTGTCAGTCTCAAAAAAAATCAAATCACCCTGATAAATGTCTTAGTTACAAGAGAGAAAAAGCAGAGATGACTAAGCTGAAAGAAATCTCTTCTGGCCTGTTTTTTATCTCTTTCAGGCGGTACTGTTCCAGATAAGTTGCACAACACTAAAACATGGTTTTGCTGTGTATCAAGGTGTGTAAGTTAGGGTAGACAGCAGTTTTTTAAAAGGAGAAATTAGATGATAAGAGCACCAGGTAAAGCAGCTTTCTGCTCCTGAGGAGGAAGTCCTGGCAGTCGTCTACGGGCACAGTGGGTAATCTGAGAGTGGTGTGAGTGCCGGCCTGAGCACAGCTGCTTCTACTGTGATGGGGGGCAGGTATTATGATCCGGCGGAAGCAGCCCTTCAGAGTCCAGGGAGGAGCATCTCATCAGACAATAACTGAGAGCTCACTGCTTTCAAAGGCAACAGGTGAGATGCTGAGGGACCAATCCACAAGAGCCGCCTGCTACTCTGAAATCAGAACTGCACTCTCATTTTCCCAAGCTGATACAGTGTATGTAATGAAATAAAATATGTATCACACATCTCCTGCAGTGGTGTAAGAGGACTTAGGACTCACAAGGAAAACTGAGCAAAGAACTTCCCCCTTCAGCCTTTTCCCTGTAAAAATATCCTCCTTGAAAACAGTGCAAGTTTTCTTCAGCAAGTGAGGTACCACCTCCTTACTCTCCCTCTCTTACCCAGTTTCACTTTTTTCTTAACACTTAAGACCACCTGACATTTTTACAGATTTGTCATTTGTCTTTTTAAACTAGAATGTAAGCTCCATGAAGGCAGATATTTCAAATATTTTGTTCACAGATATCTTCTCAGTATTTCAGTATACAGAACCTTATCTAACATGTACTTGTAGGAGGTTCTTAAAATTTTTGTAAAATTAATTAAAAGTGTTTAAAAAAGATCCCTGAATATGTTAGAATTATTAAAGAATAAGAATTTGGCATATCTGTGTATTTATGTCTGTTATTCCCAGACAAGACTCCCAAATCGGGTGTCAGAGGACCAGAAGCTTGTGTAGAGATGGGAGAGCAACTGCAAAGACAAAGCAATGTGTCTTACCTGATGGATGGACAGAACCCACTGTCACCAAACTTCTACAAAGAGTAAACTCAATTCATCCCTCTGCCCTTGCCATGTCTGAGTCTGAGTGTAGTGAATTCAAATTCACTTCACATTACTAGGCTTAATATTAGCTTTCTTCCTTGAGAAAACTCTGCAACTTATGTAGTAAAGTTTTTTTGTTCCCCTCCTCCCTAAATTACTGCCTGCAAGATGCAAGCCCTCAGATGGAAACCATCTCCCATTTCTATTTTGAGATTCGCCTGAGTCACAAGGTAGTCTTGGCGAATCACTCTGCTCCATCCCTCAGTTTATTGAGCCTGCCTGGGAACAGGCGCTGCCAGCCAGACAGGAAGAGGGCCGTGTTGCCTAACTCCAAAAGGTCTCAGGCGTGTGGATGTGGTGAGGTTTAATAATGGATATAAATCGCTGCAGATGGATTTCCCACAGGGTGGGGGTGGGAAAGGGCAACCATTTTCCTTAACTTCCTCTGTATGAATTCATGGCTGGTACAAAGGCCAGGCTATTAAACATAGCTGAGCAAATGTCCCAATGTCTGCAGGACATGTGTTTCCAACTAAAGAGACCCCTAGTGGGCGCCTACTATATATGAGGCCCCCAAGCCCCAAAGAGAAGCAAAAGAATGTGACTGATATGACTCTGGCAAAGTTACACTGTTTTAAAAAAAGTCATTGTTTATAAACATGTATAAACCACAAGGCCCTTTTCTTTTTTTCAAGAATGGGTATAAAGAGCTGCTTCCACCTGGATTCTCTTATCTGTGTCCCATCCAGTCTCGAGTTCTCCAAGCTGTGTAACTAACATGTTCTCCCTAAGTGGTTCTGCCTTACTGACTGTAATTCCAAAATCCCTGAGCCCCCAACCCCCAGAGATGCCTCTTGACAAAATTATTCTTTATGTACTCACACAAATGTAAACAGAAGAGAAGAAAGGCCCCGGGGATGCAGCCAGTGCATGTCTCACGCTGAACCACTGCTAAGCATGACCTGAACTTTTCTGCCTCTTTCCGCTTGGCTGAGTTCCTCTCTTGACTCAGGGCAAAGTGATGAGCATGGCATAGGAGGCTTAGGACCCAGGGGGCGCCTTTCAGCCGGAAAAAAAAAAAAAAAAAAACCACCTCGCTGCAGTAAGCTTGCTGGAAGCTCCCAGTTCTAAAGAGAGGCTGTTTACCAGAAGCGCATAACAAGAGCAGGCCTGACTGCCAGGCTGGGAACGGGAGGCAGAGCCGCCGCCTAGGGGGACCCCGGCTGGACTCTGGTTGGTCAGTCACCTGCAGGACGAAGGAGGTGAGGATGCTGTTGGCCTGGGTGCGAACAATCCTCGTCAGCAACATGCTCCTGGCAGAAGCCTATGGAGCTGGAGGTGAGATTACCACCTTTCCTTTCTGCAGCAACTTAATGAGGCAGAAAGGGTGAAGCTTCCTATTTCCCAAGCAGGGAGACGACAGGAAACGGAGCTTGTAGCAGGTTCCTGTTGTCCCATGAAAGCTTTGTTGGTTTTGTTTTTTCCTTCTCTATTCCCTGCCTGGAGCTTGCAGCTCCATCTTTGCCATTAAGAACAAAGGCAAGTAACCACTTTCTCTTTTCTTTTTCTTGCCGGTGGCTCATGAGTGGATGGAACTTGGGGGTTCATCTCCTCCACTCCCAAGTCCTGTTCTTTTCGGGGGGCTTTGCGGGTGTCTCCAGAGCGCTGGCCCTCCTTACCCAGCCCCTTCCTGAGGGCCTCCTGCTGAGGGGAGTGGGAGTTTGGAGTCACATCCAGGCAGCAATTAGGCAGGTTCCCTCCATTTGAGGCTCTCCTGTGCCTGACTGGATATAAAGGCCTTTGTAGGATTCTCTTGGGAGGGAATGCTGCCTGTGAAAGTGTGGCCACATCCACGGAGACAAGAACACCAGAGTTTATATAACATGGAATGACAACACAGGGATGGATTTTGGGTCCTGCCTCCGCCCCCCGCCCCGACCCCAAACTCCCACCGTCTCCACAGAGGATCCTGAACCCAGGGCTCCCCCCGCACCTTCCTCCAAAGTGGTCACAAGTTCCAGAGCAAGTTCCGGCTTAAAAAAGAAAAGAAAAAAGGCAACACTGAGCAGAGGGGGCCGGGCACCGGCTGGGGGCTCTTCACTCGTCCGCCCTCCCTTCTCTTTCCGGCCTCACAACAACCCAGCGAGGCAGGCGGGGTTTTCCACGTGAGGGCAGGGTCTCACAGCAGGGGTGGGCCCGGGCTCCCTGCCCGCCACTCAGTGTCCTGTCGGGGGGCTCCTCTTCCTCATAGGCTGCTTCTGGGATAACGGCCACCTGTACCGGGCGGATCAGCCCTCCCCCGCGCCAGGCCACCGCTGCCTCAACTGGCTGGACGCGCAGAGCGGCCTGGCATTTGCCCCAGAGTCGGGTGAGTGCCCGTCCCAGGCGGCGGGCGGGCAGGCGGGCGGGCGGCGGCCGTGTCCCAACCCGGGCCCCTGCTGCCTTCTCTCCCCTCTCAGGCGCCGGCAACCACAGCTACTGCCGGAACCCGGACCAGGACCCGCGCGGGCCCTGGTGCTACGTCAGCCGCGAGGCTGGAGCTCCCGAGAAGCGACCTTGCGAGGACCTGCGCTGCCCAGGTACCCGCCCCGAACCCCGGGCCCAGGACTTCCCAGGAGCTGTTGCTGCACCCGCCGCGCACGTGCGGCCGCGCGACGCCGGCCGGCCCCGCCCCGCCCCGCGCCGTCCGATTGGCCAGGGCTGTCTCCAGGCCGCGGGACCCGAAGCTCATTGGCCGGCGCCGCCGCCCGGAATGAGCTCATTCCCCTCAAGCGCTTAGTAAACAACCGTGGGCGGTTAGGCCCCGCCCCTCGGCCGAGCTCGGTGCCGGGAACGCCTCTGGGAGAGCCCGGGAGAAGTGCGTCGTTGGTCCACGCCCTTAGCTCGCCCCTCGGTGTTTGTGTAGTGTCTGCTGTGTGCTAGGCACTCTTTCACAGCCCCCCCTCCACCCAGTTCGGGGGATCTGAGATTCAGAGAGAAGTTTAGCGACTTACCAAACGCAGTGGCAGGGTTCAGATTTAAATCCAAGTTTCTTGAGACTCCAGAGTGCAGCTTGTGGCTCCCAGGGCAGCAAGGACGATTCTCTAGGATTAAATGGGATATGTGAGCATGTAACATAGAAATTGGCATAAAGTGTGGGTTCAGCAAATGTGAGCTGTTTCGAGGAGTAACGCATTGCCTTTTGGCATAGAGGGGGTACCCCTGGAGGTGAGCTGAGCTGGGCCTTGAAAGATGGCAAGAATTTGAGAATATGAAGACTTGGGAGGCAGGTGAGGCCCTTTCTCACAGCCTTCTTTGTCTTGTTCCAGCTGTGGTGCAGCCTTTAGGCCGGATCTTGCCCCTAGGTCTTGATTTCAGCGTGTACAGTGCATTCTAAGGTGGGCCCACTCCACTTCCCCCAAACTCAGGCCCCTGTCTGATGAGAGCTGTTTTCCCACTTCACCTCCAGATACCACTTCCCAGGGCCTGCCAGCCTCCACAACAGGAACTGAGGAGGCTGCTGAAGTGCCAGGAGGAGATGAGGTGTTTGCTCCTGCCAACGCCCTGCCTGCCCGGAGCGAGGCTGCAGCCGTGCAGCCAGTGATTGGGATCAGCCAGCGGGTGCGGGTGAACTCCAAGGAGAAGAAGGACCTGGGAACCCTGGGTATGACTTCCCGCCTCTGTCCTTGTGAAATTCAAGGAGAAATATTTGCTGATTATCTGGGGTGGAGCTAATGGGACCTTGTGTCCTGTCTTTGGCAGGCTACGTGCTGGGCATCACTATGATGGTGATCATCATCGTTATTGGAGCTGGAATCGTCCTTGGCTACACCTACAAGAGGTCAGTAGCTTCTTTTCTGGGTTCGGTCAGAGAGGAGAGGAAGGTACACAAAATCAAACCAGGCTCCTTTGTGGCATTCTTCCGTGTAGAGGAAGGGAGGTATTGGATGCAAAGACTTGGTTCTAGTTTTCACCAGGTGACCTTGGACAAACCTTCATCTTTGGTGCCTTTACTTTTCACCTAGCAAGCCTGATGAGGTAGGGATTCTTATTCCCCATTGTATAGGTGAGGAGGCCTTCATAAGGGTGAACTAACTTGCTCAAGATTATACTGCCTGGGAGTGGCTGGAGTCACATCCAGCTCTCTTGACACCGACATTCCCTGCTGTCTGGTGTGGAAGCATGTCTGCTGTGGAACTGGGTGGCCTTTCAGAAATGAGGCTGGGCTCTCATTGTAGGGACTGGGAGATTGAATTCTTTCTGTGAGTTATAAAATTCTGCTCCTAGAAAAGGTTCCCAGCCACTGCTTTTGCAGTTGGGGCTTAAATGTCCTGAGCTGTAAGCAGTGGGATCTCCTCTAGGACAGGAGGAAGGAAGTGCGTTGGAGTGCATGATGATAATCGAGTTGTGCCCATTTTTCCAGCACTGGTTGACTCTGGGAAGATTATTTACAAAATGTTGGGCAAAAATCAGGGGCTTTGACTTCCATTCCTGAGTATCTGTGATATTTCTTTTCTGTGGTCTGTGAAGGCTTCCTATAAAGGAAGTGATGTGGTGGCCTGCGTTTTCCAGTGGTGAGGACCACAGCCCCCGCGGGTCATCCAGTATTAAAGTCGAGTTGTCTCTAGAGTGTTGTAGTCAGCCTCATTTTACAGATGGAAAAGGGGACATATTGGTAAGAATAATAACAGTACTAGCAGCAGTATTTCTGAAGGCCAGGTACTGCTTCAAATGATATGTGTGCTTTAACTCAGTCCTCACAATCACCCCTGATAAGGTCAATGATATTTACAGATAAGGAAACTGAGACTTGTTCGAGGTCACACACCTAGCATTTGGTGGAGCTGTCTCAGTCCTGCCACTGACTAGCAATCTGCGTGACTTTGGGCAGGGTGGTTCTATTTCCTACTCCAGGCCATGGCTGTCGCTGAGACGCTTGACTTCCTGGACCAAGGAAAGAGGTCAGTAAACCATAGTTGTTTCTCTTTTCTGTAAAATGTGGGCACATTGCACTTGCGCTCTCCAGGCTCCATCACTTCTCTGATCTTCTGTGATTCAGGAAGCATAGGTTCAGAGAGGGGACATGTTGATCTGGGAGGGTCTCCTGCCCTCTAGCATAAGGTTGCTGCCCTCAGTGCGACAGTGGCTGGGGCAGGTTCAGGGGCACCTGTTGGTCAATTCAGGGAGTTAGGGGGAGTGATGGGGAGGCCCTGGTTACAGTTCGCAGATCAGATCCAAACCCTGTTGGCTGAGTCTAGCTGTTGAAATATTTCCTCCTCAGACACTGGATAGTACTGGGCTTGCCTCCAGTCCTGTGACAGTGTCCAGGCCTCCAGGTGCTTGAACTGACTGTTAAATGTCCTTAATTGCAAACTCAGTTCTCAGGCCGGATGAGGAAGCCACGCCTTTTTCTTCTAGATCTGCTCCTCTAGGCTGTCACGGGAGCACCCCGAGAGCCTATATTTACTTTCCTGTAATCTCAGGGCGAGGCACCGAGTCACCAGACTCCTCATCACTAACCATCGGACCACCCCTTTCCTCAGCAAAAGTGCCCCAAGCACAGCCTGTACAACAGGAAACCGCATGTGGGCTGGAGGCAAGCGCTCAGCTCCCACTCTCTCCCCAGAGTCACAGAACAGTGTCCTGGAAAGTGCTGTTGAGCGCAGGTCCTTCTACTTCTCTGCACCTCCTTTTCTTGTCTGTTCCGTGGAGCTGTGTCCCCTCTCCAGCACACCCATACCCACCCCAGGTTACCCTTAACTATTACATGTAGACAGCAGAACACCAATCAGGTTAAATAACCACTACAGTCACCTGGACTTTCTCAATAAGACCCACTGCGTGTCCTTCCCTGATGACAGCACCAAAGCCTCAGGACCACACTAGAAGGACCACTTTTACACCATTTCACAGCGAGGAGCTGAGACTGAGAGGAGTTCAGCAGCGTGTCCAAGCTTCATGGCCAATAAGGGATTGCCAGTGTCTCCCAAAAGTCCAGCAAGGCTCAGGAGCTTCGTGCCAGTTTGCTTTGGATGGCATAAGACAGTCGCGAGCTGCCCAGGTGGCTCAGTGGTAAAGACCCCTCCTGCCAATGCAGGAGACCCAAGTTCAGTCTGGGTTGGGAAGATCCCCTGGAGGAGGAAATGGCAAAGCATTCTTGCCTGGGAAATCCCATAGACTGAGGAGCCTGGCAGACTGTAGTCTGTGGGGTTGCAAAAGAGTTAGACATGACTGAGTGAACACGCACAGAACCTTTCAAAATAAAACAGAAACTTTCAAACTGTAACAGCTGGGCTTAAAAGTCAAAAGAACCAGGATCTTGTTCTGGAACTGTGAGCAGTTCTGGGTGTGACAGTGGACAAGTCATTTACCTTCTCTGCTTCCCTCACCTGTAGAATAGCATGGGGCAGGTTAGCGATGATCCGCCCAGCTCTAACATTTCCTAAAGACAGTATTATTTGGTGGTGGTCGCAGGCAGTACTAGGTTCAGATCCCAAATCCGCCCTCTCTGTGAATAAATGATGGTGCCTCTCCACTTCTGCTATCCTGTCCCTGAAACAGAGATCCTAGTAGATGCTGCATAGGTTTGTTGTGACGATGAAATGAGTGTAGTCTGGGCAGACAGTTGGTATTCCTGACCTTGGCTGCCTTGAGGAACTTGCCCTGAGCGGCAGTGTGGCACAGCGCCACTTCTGACGGGACGAGAGCGATGGCCCAGAGTTACGTAATAATGTGGCAGCCAGCCTCTGTTGCCTGAAGGAGGTCTCGGGTGCCTCTGTCACCCAGCAAGAGGATGTCAGATACAGGCAGCAGCTCCGTGCACGCTTGCTTTCTGGCCGGCCCAGCTACCAGGCCTGACCCTGGAGCAGTCAGAATAGAATTCCTGCAAGCTCTGAACCCTTCCAAGGGCCAGGAGGCTAGTGGGAAGGAGTCTTCCCCTGGCCGGGAGGGGCGGGCAGACACTGGGCTTCCCCTGAGGGGAGGAAGGGAGGCAGGTGGGAGCGGGCAAGGGCTCAGCCTGGCGGGCCTCTGTCCTGGTTGTCTGGTTCAGGGGGCCAGCCTGCAGTTCCCTGCCCCGAGCGAGTGTCTGTGCTCTGGCTCTGATAAAAAGGCAAGGGGAAAACTGTCAGTCAGCAACTCCTCCGCCTGCCCAGGAGAGGAACTGAGTTAGTGAATGAGTCTTTTGTTCTTTCTTGGCTGTCAGACAACAGCCTGGGCTGTCCCCCCACCTCACAGGTGGTGAGAAGGGGCTGAGCTGCCTGACGGTCAGTGCAGCCATCCTGGTGGCCTCTCTGAGACCCCAGAAGGAGCTGGGGGCCGCCATGGCACCTCTAGGACTCACGGGAGCCATTAGCAGGAGGCATGCAGGGCTGAGTGTGTTTTGAGGCTTCTAAATGGAAGAGACTGCCATCCGGACTTGTCCCAGCACCTGCTCCTTGCATTTACCCTTGGCTGAGCTTCGAGCCCAGCTCTGCCCCATTAATCCACATTGATTTTTTTCCCCCTCAAGACTTGTGTATGATGCAGCCTGACCATTATCAACAGCCCGACTGACCACAGCCAGATGCTTGGTAAAGGAGGCAGTTGAGGAAAGTCTCAGTTTCTTCGGCTGTAAAATGTGGATGACACGCAGTGCTGGGTGGAAATGAGACAAAGATGACGCACGTATAAAGGGTGCGGCATCCAGCCGGTGCACAGGTGACCCTTCTCAGGATGGAAGGTGGGAAGGCCGTTTCCTGGCACCTTAGGGGTGCTCGGGAAGCAGGAGTTCCTGCTTCCTCCAGCCTCTTGGGTTTTGAAATTCAGGCCTTGGCACAAGGCTCTGGGCACATACTCTGCTGCTTTTGTAAATGGCCTTTGGTTCTCCGCTGGCTTGTTTGTGGGCTCCCTCGTTGTTCAGTCGCTCGGTCGTGTCTCTTTGCAACCCCGTGGATTACAGCACACCAGGCCTCCCTGTCCTTCACTATCTCCCAGAGTTTGCTCAAACTCATGTCCGTTGAGATGCCATCCAACCATCTCATCTTTTGTCGCCCCCTTCTCCTGCCCTCAATCTTTCCCAGCATCAGGGTCTTTTCCAACGAGTCGGCTCTTCACATCAGGTGGCCACAGTACTGGGGCTTCAGCTTCAGCATCAGTCCTTCCAGTGAATATTGAGGGTTGATTTCCTTTATGATTGACTGTTTTGATCTCCTTGCAGTCCGAGGGACTCTTCCTTAATAGAACTAAACCCAGACTTTCCACGTTTCTCCTGACATGGGCAGACTGCAGTTTTCTGTTGTACGCCGGAGGTAGAGGTGTTCTCTTGTACGTGGCAGTGGCCGTAACCGATAAGTGCCCAGAGGCAGAGCGAATCTTGGGCAGTGAGCGGGGGTGCGCTTGTTCCAGGCAGCCGTGTCCCCGTGGCCCTCCTCAGCCCCTCTGGGGGCTCGGGGCATCCAGTGCAGAGCCTGATGAGGATGGGCAGGAGCTGCAGGCTTACACGCAGAGACTTGGCCCTCCAAGTCTTGGGTGGCATGAGCGCACAGGTGTGCCGACAGGAGCAGGGGGACGCGGGGCCCACATCACGCTCAGGATCTCACAGGATGTCAGGGGCCCTGGAGGTTCTCAAGTCTAGCTCCCTGTTTTACAGGATGATGAAGCTTAATGCCTAGAGCGGAGGGCAGTGGTGGGGGTCACATAAACAACACTCACCCTGGCTGTCCAGTAGGAGAGTTTCCATGGGAACCCAGAGGGCAAATTGCAACAGCCCCTTGTGAGCTTTATAGCAGTCCCATGGTTTTCGAAATGCTTTCCCATTCAGTAGTCTTGCCTGGAAAACCCCATGGATGGAGGAGCCTGGTAGGGTACAGTCCATGGGGTCGCAAAGAGGCGGACATGACGGAGTGACTCCCCTTTGACTTTCATCATCATATTTGGAGTCAGGTATCATTTCCATTTCACAGGTGATGAAACCAAGGCTCTCCAAGGCCGAGTGTCACACAGCCCAGGCTGGGCTGGGCCAGGGGCAGAGAACTGGGTGATTTAAAGGCAGTTGGGAGGCACCTGCTCTTTCCCCTCCAGCGCCCGTGTCCTCAGCGTTGTCTCTGAAAACCTTTGTCTTTGCACCTCCCTGGGCAATAGCTGTGTCATCCGTCTGCTCTCAGCTGTCTCCCTGGGGACTTTGAGGCAGGCCTGTTTGCCGCACCAGGTCATCCATCAGCTGCTTGCTTCAGGGCCTCTTCGGGATGGGCTCATTCTGGGAAGATTTCCTCTGACAGCTGAGCCCACGTGTCTGATCACCGTTAGAGGATGCTGACCTGGGTTCTGGCGTGCAGTATGCCAGGCACACACCACACCCTTTGGCTTGCAGTGGGCGTGGCCGGTCCAGTGGGGCGGGCCTGACATGCGCAGCTGGAAGACTGGGTGGGTGAGGCCCTGCCCTATCCTTTTTGTAGGGGGTGACCCTGGTAAGGTCAGAACTTCTCTTGAGCATGAGCCAGAGTCCAACAGACTTGGGCTTGAGCCCACCGTGTCATTTGGAGAGTTCATTATCTCTGGACTCACTTCCTCATCTATAAAATGAACGATAAGACCTAACTGTTAGGGTTCAGAATGAAGTGAGGTAATGCATGTAAAGCCCTCGGCATGGAGTGAGCACTTCACGTGAATAAAATGGGGTAACACCTCAGCCTGAGAAGTGCCAGAAGGCCCATGAACACCCAGGGGTCCCATGGTCATGGTGTCCTTGTTTCCCGTCGACCTGAGCAGCCCTCAGAGGCTCCTTGCCCACTGCACTCGGAGGGGTGGTCCCTCTTTATAGCCAGGGCTCACACCTTCTGGGAAGGGGATGGTCCCTGTTTCCAGCCAGAGCTCACACCTTCTGAGACTTTCGGATGAGGCGTCTCAGAACAGGATGGTCAGGTCAGTTTTCTGGACAGCTTTATGGGTGCGGGCTGAGGGTTTTTCTGGGTCCTGTGGTGCCTCGGGCTGAAAAAGCAAAACTCCATTTTGCTTTAAGGGTCTCTTTCGTCCCCACCATCTTCACTGAGCCCCACTGCAGCTGTGTGAGGTTAGTGCTACTGTCACCCCTATCTTACAGACGATGTTTAGGGGCTCCTTGCTGAGTTAAGGCAGTCTGGCAGAACAGCCCTGCCTGGCTGTGACTGTGGCCAGCCCCTGCCGGGTCTCAGGGTGCTGGCCTACGAGCAGACTGTGCAGGCGGCACAGCCCGATGCTTCCCTCTTCTCCTGCCAGGGGCAAGGACCTGAAAGCCCAGCACGAGCAGAAAGTGTGCGAGCGGGAGCTGCAGCGGATCACCCTGCCCTTGTCTGCCTTCACCAACCCCACCTGTGAGATCGTGGATGAGAAGACCATTGTCGTTCACGCCAGCCAGACTCCAGTCGACCTTCAGGAGGGCAGTGCCCCCCTCATGGGCCAGGCGGGCACTCCAGGTGCCTGAGCCCCCCCACGATGGGCAGGAGCCCATTGCAGACACTGGTGCAGGACCACCTACCCCCCCCCCCTACAGCTGGGAGGATCTACACTTTCTGTTGTGGTTGAAACCCCCCACTTTTTCTGTTTGAACCCAAAGACAGGAGCAGGTGGCACTGTGGGCTGAGCGAGGCTGGGTAGGGTCCTGCCAAGGCTCTCTCTCCATGCCATGGAGCAGGGTTTTGCCCACGGATAGGGACAGCAGCAGCCCCCGCAGCAGCGCTGTGACAGGGGCTTCCTGTGTCCCGGAACCAAAGCAGGGACGGACAGGGGGCTTCCCCAGCTCCCCTGTGCTTCATTGTGCAAGGTGGCCTCAGCCTCAGCCTCCCCACATGCTCGCTGTGGGTCTGAGTGGTGTGCGCTGTTATTCACAGGTCGAGAGGCGGTGTTTAGAAACGTATTTAGTTTTTTCAGTATTTGGGACGCAGTCCCCTCCTGACCATTTCTAAGAAATGGAAACGAGTCTGTACGAAAGTCAGCACTGTGGGTTGAGAAGAGGATCTAGGCGGAGGCTGCTAGGCTGCTGGCAGTGATGTGCCTTGAGGACTGTGGGCCGGGCCTGGGGCCCTGGGGCTCTTCCTGTTCCGAAAGGAAGGACGGCACTGAACATTCCACTGAGGAGGAGGGCGAAGTGTCTGCAGCCGCCTCAGCTCCCAGGCGCCTGGGGCGCCCCAGACCGACGGCCTCCCTTCAGGGTGCAGAGTGACCGCTCTGCATTCCTCAGGGCTGAGACAGCAGCCAGCTGACCTGCAGGAATGATGCTGTGGGCGGGGCCTCGGTGTTGGAAGGATTCAGGACCACACCTTCTTGTGGGGAACCAGGATGAGGGTCATGACCCCTAACTTGTGAGACAGTCAGAGACCCACTGGAAGGGTTCTGAGGGTTCCTGACGCCTTTTGGACAGAGCGGGCCCAAAGGGAGTGACGCTCAGGTTCCAAGAGGACAGTCAGCCTCGAGGCCCTGATGGCACACTTGGGGGCCTCAGCAGGGCTAACCTGTCCAGAGCTTCCTTCCCAAAGCCCTGTCACCGCCCTTCACGGAGGCCGGGTTTGTGGGGCCCTGTCTCTCCAGCAGGCTGTTCCCAGAAGTGACCTGCTGAGGGGATCTAGACCTCAGGGGGGTCTGTTGTTGGTCATGATGCAGAAGAGAACATTACCGGTTTCTACTTTTCTATAAAAGCATTTCTGTGTACCTGTTTTTATATACCTCATTCTGACACCTGCAAATAAAAGTGCAGGAAATTGCTCTGCATTTGACTCAACATAAATAAAATTAAAAAAAAAAAAACCCCATTGCCAAGTTTTTGTGGGGTGTCAGGACACTCCCCCTCCAAGCCGGGAAGCGTTCGGTTACCTTGTCAGCACCTGCAGGCGCGCTGTTCTGTCCGTCCTCCCCTTGGCCCACAGCAGGGGCAGCGGCCAGGAGGTCGGTAACTGGGGCGTTGTCACCAGGAGCGCCTCTCGGGTCGCAGCTTGGCAGAGGGCAGCCAGTCACTGCGGCCCCTCTCCCCTCAGCATTCCTCAGAGGTTAGGGAGGGGCTGGAGACAGGGTGGGGGGATGGGCGTGCAGAGGGGGGACAGGCTCCCAGGAGCTGCTCTGGCCGAGGGCGGTCCTCGCAGGGCGACTCCTAGGGCTCCAGCGGAAGCTACTAATGGCAGGTTTTTTTTGGCTTTTTAGCAAGGATTTCGCAACAGGTTCTCAGCCTCTAGGACACCCAGGGTGACCTCTGCCTGTATCCAGTCACCTCTATATGGCTGCCAGCAAGGGGCACCCTAGTGCGTGTTTTTCCAGGAACCAGACCTTGGCCCTGACTCCAGCCAGCTTCGGGAGAAGCCACCTTTGGGTCTGTGGACTTGTGCTGTGCCTAGGATCTCGTGAGCCAGATCACATCACCTGGCCCAGCCGGCACCCCACAGGCCCCGTGTGCAGATGCAAGAAACAGGTCTCCTCTCGAGCTCTTGGAAAGACACAGCAGGGGCAGGGGTGGCGAGCACACATTTCCTCCCTCCATTAAGGTGGCACCCGGCCCTGCAGAGAGGACTCCGGGATGGCCTGGCTGTGGGAGCGCGCGGACGGCAGAGGGCGGGCTGCACACGTCCCCTGGGGCAGGCTGGTGTCTGTGTGCAGAGGTGGGGTCAGAGCACACGAACCCCTGCTGTCGGGTCACGTGGCCGGGGCCTCAGAGTGGCCAGTGCACCCTCCACGTGCATCTCCCTGGACCAGGCCGCAAGTCACATTCTCACTCTCCGCACCATCAAGTCATGTTAACTGCTTAATTTATTTGGTCTGCTCCACGGCCTGGCTTGGGCCCACCACCCCCCACTCCTGCGGGGACTGCCGAGGCAGCACCAGCCGCGCTCCCTACTGCCGGGAGCCCAGGGCGAAAGCCCGCACACTCCGCACCTAGGCAGGGCCGTGACAGCAAGGAGACTGGCCAGAGGCAACACCTAGTCCCGCAGCTCATCAGGTCTATGTACAGCGTTTCACGTATCACCCCCACAGGTACACCACCAAGACAGTCTGAACGGCAACCGCCTTCTCCCGCGTCACCCAGCCGCCCCTGCCCCCAGCACAACCACACACGCCGCAGTAAGGTCCCAAACCCACTCCTCACTTGTTAAATATGGTGCAAGGTCACCCCACACCCCGGGCCTGCCACTAGCCAGTGTCCTCCAGAGCTTGCCTGGCACAATCCCGGGCTCCTGGATGAAGCGCACGTTGAGCGTGCAAATGACAGCAGCCAGGACAGCAGGGCTTTCGAGAGGGCAGGGCCTCTGCTTTCAGCCTGGCCGCCTCCTGCGCTTGCTGCCGGCAGGACGGGCACGTACACGAGTTTCCCACCAGTCTGGAGCTCAGTGTGAGAACACAGTGGAGGCTTCCCCCTCGATGTGGCCCCGGGGCCCAGGAGGCGAACAGAAACCAGCCCTGCTCCTGACTCCTGGCCGGACCCACCACAAACCGACCAGGAGATGCCTTACAGCCCACCCCCTCAACGCTGCCCAGGGCAGGGCGGGATGCGCCAGGGCCGGGGAGCACCGCGGTCGCTTCCCGTCCTCGGAGGGCCGCACTCTCTGCCACACTCCACGAGAAGTCCTCCTGCACCGGCGGAACCAGAGCCGTCAGGGCCGCCGGCGGTGCACCCGGGAGCCTGCCCAGCAGGTCCAGGGTGTGCTGGTTAGTGTCAGCAAGGGCCTCTGGGAATCCACTGCCAGGGGGCTCCCGAGTGGTCACGAGTAACAGACTCCTCCTGGCTCAGGGACCAGGCTTTGCTTGTTTTCTTCACAGCTTCCAGGCGAGTGTTGGATGTACAGACAGTAACCGGGCTCCAGGACCCCTGGGGACGTTTCCCTGGTGCTGTGCCTGCTTGCCTCCGGGGACGTAGGAGGATGGCCAGTCCTGCTTCTGAATGAGCTGCCGATCCCCAGGAGGCCTGGCCGGCCCTGCACGCAGCAGGGATGGGCGCAGAGGGGGCAGTGCTGGCTGGGGGATGCCCCCCGGAAGGGGGTTGGGCCAGGGCTAGGGAGGTGAGTCTCGGATCAGGCCGTACTGCACGCTCACGGTGTGGTCCAGCTCCTCCAGCTCTGCGGGCAGAGGGATGCCCAGTTCCCCCAGGTATAGGGACAGTGCCTCAAAGCAGTCCTCCAGCTTGGAGAATGCCGGTCTAGAAAGAGGAGGAGGAGACAGGTGAGTCACAGGGGTGGGGGCGGGCAGTGAGGTGGCAAGGAAGGCACCCAGGCCTGGGACTCCACCACTTCCTGGGTGTCTGACCTTGGGCAAGTCCTTAACCTTGGTGTGCCTCGGTAGGAAACAGGGTCATATGACTGCACAGGCCGCTGCAAAGACGAGAGGTGATAACACAGGGAGAGGTGGGTCTGGCTCAAAGGGGCGGCTTGAAAATGAAGTCCAGGAGAAGAGAAGCCCCTTCCAGGTCTCAGAGAAAATGCAATCATCACAGGTGCGTTTGGACTAAGTGCCCTTTTAAAGATCCTTTCAGTCCTGAGACTGAAAGTCGTTTCCACATGGACGGGATCTGCCCTGGGAGGGGCTTCTCACAGACTTGGCAGCTCACCCCAAGGAGAGAGCGAATGCCTGGCTCCTACTGCCCTGGAGACAGCTCAGGTCCACTCCCCCATCTCCTTCTTGGTTTGCTTAAACATCTTGTCGCCTTCTTGGCAAGACCTACTCTGAGCACCATCTTAAAGATGGTAACTTATACCTTGAACAACCCTTTTTGCTTAGCTTGCATCCTTTTTCCATGGCATCTGTCATTTTCTCACATATTAAATACATGTTCTCATATACTAAAGATAATTTTAAAAAGATTTCTTTAAAGGAAAAAATTGGCTAATGCATAAAGATGCTCATTGTAATACCTATTGTAAGAAGAAGCTGGAAAAACCTGAGCAACTACACATGTATGTTCCTACAGTCTCCTAGTGAATTTCACAGTCAACAGAAATGATAATCTGAAATACTGAGTAGTGACAAAAATGCAAAGCAAAATGTCAAACTTTTCTCTACTTATGATAACTCTATAAAAAAAAATGTGTTTGGACATGGACACGGGAATACGGAAACTTGAATGCACTGTTAGCATGGTATACAGGTTTACATGAGATACAAGTTGGGGTGAATTTCCTGCTGTTAAGGTGTAACGCTGCTTCTGGGTCACTTGCTACAACACCCCTGTCTTCCTCCTGCCAACTGACACGTCGGGGTCGTCGGGCGGCTTCTGTGGTTGATGGCCACATCCTCGAGCTCGAGGCCTTTACCACCCCCGTGCCTGGGAATGGTGTGGCGATGGCTGAGGACCGGGGCGGGCATCCCAGGACCATGCGGGCCGGGTGGGGGGAGTGGACTCCAACCTGCTCTCAGGCTCCAGTCTGCAGCAGATGGCAGCCAGGGGGAAGAAGGCTGGGGGGCAGTCTGTAGGCACGAACTTCTCCCAGAAGAGCTTCACGTTGAGGCCGAAGTCCAGTGTTCGGGGCAGGCAGTCAGGATCTGCATACACCTGCCCAATTATCTGCAGGTGGAAAGACAGTGGTCAGGGACGGTGCAGCCACGTGGTGGGGGAGGGGGTTGCTGGTGCGGGGACAGGACAGGAGGGATGGCCAGAAGCGGGAGGCAGGGGGGCTTCCCTGGTGCTCCAGTGGTTAAGAATCCGTCTGGCAGTGCAGGGACGCAGGTTCAATTCTGGTTAGGGAACTAAGGTCCCACATGCTGTGGGGCAACCAAGCCCGTGTGTCACAACCACTGAGCCTGCGCTCTAGAGATGCGACTCAAGGGAAGACTACGTGCCATAACTAAGGCCAGACGCAAATCAACAGAAGAGGAAGGAGGTAAAAAACGAGCTGAGAGGGCTGCACCCTCCCGTCTCTCCATATCTTGCTAATGCAGGCTTGTCTCCTGACTGAGAGTCTGCTCACTGAGGGTCTGGAGGAGCCCTGACCGGCCTCTGGAGGGGAGGCGTCCACACGGCCCCACCCCGCCCCGCTCAGTCCTCTTCTGTCTGAGTCTCCTGCTGGAGTTGGGCCCTGAGAAGGGAGGCACTCTGATTCATGTCTGAAGCCCTCTGGCATCAGCTCAGGGCTCTGCAAACAGTAGATGCTCAACTGATTTCCGTTAGAGTGAACGATATTTTTAAAACAGCAAGACTCGAATGTGTCCACAGACCCGTGATAACAGACACGGCCCTCCGCTCCTGCTGACTCTGTGACACTACTCATCCTAGGAGGAGGAGCCCCCGTTCTGACCGGGGGGCCGGGCTGCCAGGTCTGCTGCCTCAGGCCTGGCCTCCGCGCTGGGGCTCACCTCACAGAGGACGATCCCAAAAGAGAAGACGTCCACGGTCTCATCGTAGCTCTTTCCTTCGGAAACACGGGAGAGCAGGCTGTTAGGTCTGGTCCTGTCTCTGCTCTGCACTGAGTCTGCAGCCAGGTCAGGTCAGAGCCAAGAGCCAGGGCCAGGAGAAGTGCTGTGGGGGTGCCCCTAAGGCTGCGGGGACGGGCCCGTCTGAAAACCACCGCTCCTCAGGCAGTCTCAGAGAGAGCCCATGAAACAACACTGCCCAGGGTGAAGCAGCATAGGACACTGAGAGAGAACTGGGCCAGGGTGCGCCTGGACTCTGACACTGCCACCTGTGTGCTCTCTGCGTTGACGGCCTCAGAAACAGTTGCAGTGGACCACTTCTGCGGTCTCACGGCCCTTTCGGGCTCAGGAGTCCCGGCCAGCATCTCTGGCTGGTTTGCGCCTCAGCCACGAGGGGGCAGCACACTTCAGTTCTCAGC